AAAATCACAATTGTAACACTTTTGTCCTAAATCAATTGGTTTGGCAAATATCTTCTCTATTGCATGCCTTAAATTTTGTCTTGTGAAACACGTCATGTATACAAAAAGGTCTATAAAATGGAGGTGCCCAGTTTACAGAATGATAATAGAATAAACATCCATATACCAAGCATTCAGGTTAAGACATAAACTATTACCTTGGGAATATCTTTGTGTTTTCCTTTCTGACACCTCATCACACATCCTTCCTTCCCACTCGCAGACAATTATTGGGTGTTGAATGAGTCATTCCCTGCCTATTCTTTATACTCTCAATTTCTTTTCTTTATGCTTTTAATTAGTACATAGCTATGAATAGGTAGTAAATAAGGTATTGTTTAGTGTTCTTTAAATTGTATATAATATGCTCTTGGATGGAAAGATTTAATATCATAAAGATGTCAGTTATTCCAAGACTGAATTAAATTTGATTCCCAGAATGAAGTAAATTTACATAGTTTCAGTAAATTTCTGTAAAATTCTCAGTAAGTATGTCTGTGGAGTTTGAAAATATGATTCTAAAATTTGTACAGAGAAACAAAGATCAAAAATATCCAAGATACTCCAGAAAAAATGGAAAAAAGTGTATATGTGGGGAATGGGAATCTTTCCTTAACCAATATCAAAATTTATTATCAAGCTAGAGCTATTAAGACAGTGTGGCACTGGTGCGGAGACTGGCAAGTAGACCTATTGAACAGGATAGTTAGACCAGAAACAGGCCCATGATTATATGGGAACTTGATATACAACAGAAGTTGCACTGCAGAACACAAGGAAGAAAAATGAACTATCTAGCAAACCATTATCCATATGGACAAAAAAAAAAAGTTGGATTTCTACTTCAAATCATACACAATAATACATCCCTACAGAATTAAAGATGAATATGAAAGTTAAGAAAGTTGAAACTGTAAACATTTGAGAAGAAAATATGGGAGAATATCTTTATCAGCTCTGGCTGTGAACTTCTTTCACAAGATGACTAAACGAAGCACAAACATAAAGGAAAAGATTGATAAATTCAACTACATTAAAAATAAGAGCTTTTGTTCATCAAAAGACACCATAAAGAGACAAGCCATAAACTGAAAAGAGATATTTGCAACAAATGTAACTGATAAAGATTTAGTATCCTGAACATATAAAGACCTCCTATGAATCATTAAGCAAAAGGAAAACAACTAAATTTAAAAATAGGCAAAAGACATGAATATAAATTTCAGAGAAGAACAAACCTATAAGCCATAAACATATGAAAAGATGCTCAACATCATTAGTATTCAGTGAAATGCAAATTGAAATCACAATGAGACTTCATTTCATATCTATCAGATTGGCAAAAGTTAATAAAAATTCTCTCTACCAAACATTTGGGAGAATGTGAAGAAAGAGGACAAGATCTCTCATCCACTTCTGGTGGAGTGTAAACTGGTTCAAAACAGTGTCACACTACATATATTTAAAAACCCCATATTACTTCACCTTATTAATAGAAATAAGAGATGGCAGGGAAGGTGGCAGGTCCTTGCAATTATTCCTAGATGCTCCTAGAAGTCAAAACAGCACTGAAAAGGAAGAGGGGAAGATTGGGTTTCATTCTTGGTAGGGACAACTCTCAGTGGCTTTTTTGAAACTTGGCATTCTCTCGTGGATCAATTTGTTTCTTAGGAAAACAGGGGAAATTTTATTAATCTTAGGAATCTTTGGTGCTAAGAACTGATTTACATAATTAACATAATCACAAAGTGGATCTGTCATCCACACACCTTTTGTGGAAGCTGTACTTGTGGCATTAGGGTTGTATAAAGTTAGTTTGGCTAAATATGGGATAAATGAATGCCAATAAGGATAACTATAATAAATTTAAGTACATATATAATTAAATCCGTGAGTTTACTGTGAGTTTATAATGATCCTGAGAAAACAAACATAATGTTCATCACAGAAGGATGTTAGTGAATCCACTCATCATTTAGAAATTTGGTATATAAAAGGAAAGAATCAAGCATTTATGTTGCCATTCCTATGAACTATATAGTTGGATAATTGAATAGTTAATATAGGGAAATTAATCTTTATAGAAGTATTCCTGCTAATAAGTGAAGAAGGAGTGATGCAGTTAGAATATCACCATTTAGCAACCCTGGAAGGACTACTGGATTTAGGCATTGAGCATAAGTGGCTGCTAACATTATAAAAAGAGAAAGAAGCAGGACTTATGTGCCTGCCAATGGAAGAGCACACCACTGCTTATGAAGTAGTCTTATTGAAGCATCAGACTTGAGTCTGATCAATCCTCTAGGCTGACCCAGCAGTACAGGAAATTCAGAGAACAAAGGAAGATGTTCAACAACACCATGGAGGTGTAATCAGTGGAATCCAGATTATTGAAAATTGTACATGACAAATGATCTGATCTTCTTAACAAATAAATTGCAAGAAAAAAATAAGAAATAAGGGGCACTTACAAATTAAAAGAGACGGAAGAGCCAAGAGACATATATCAAACAATTGGAAAGGGGGGGACCTCATTTAGATCCTGAGTCAAACAAGCAGACTGTAAAAGCCAAACAAAAGATGAGATTTGCTGTTAGTAATTAGAAGTATTTTCTAAAAATAAATTTACTTATTCTCTTTAAACCTTAATTTCCTCATCTGTGTAATAGGGATAATCAATATGCCTCTCTTATAGAGCTTTAGTTGGAATTCAATGAAATGATGTTTGTAAAGCATTTAACACAATGCCTACTACATTGTAAGGACTTAATAAATGTTTGTTGTTATTATTATTTTTATTATTATTACCACAAAAGATGGTGTTAGGAGCTTGGTAAGCAGTCTAGTATCAGACTACCATATGCAAAATTGGAAAATTAATGAAAAAAACGAAAGCCAAGATGGAAAGCCAAGCAGATTGGCACTGAGTGTAGATGGTATATGAGGAAGAAAGAAGTAGTTTGGAAGAAAAGTGAGACTGAGAAACACTTTTATCCAGAGTTCTGGAATTAACTGCAGCCTTCTACCAAGTGCTCAGAAACTCTGGTGTGAGTTTGCCAAGAGCAGAAAATACAACTACCGAGGAGCAAACACAACCTACCACGTGCTAGTGGTTAAGGCTGAGATTTTCTCGAGGCTTCACTTCAAACTGTGGAAGAGCAAGGACTCGAATCCAGGTTTCCTGGCTGCTCTGGAGTCCAGGGCTCTTCTTCCTCCACCACAGTCCACCATCGTATATAAATTTCACTAACGTTGAAATGACAAAGACAGAGGGGCTTAAATACAAAGAACAAATTCTCGTCTTTGCAATGTTACCAAAAATACTCTTGGAATAGGAACACGTACTGACAGACGTGAAAAGCAGAAAATAGATACTCTTGTATTTTTCTCCCATTCCACCTTTATCCCTTTGAATGTTTCCTGAATATAAGACCAGTTGAAAGTTGCCAGATGGAACTCCATAAATCTATTTGATGTAATAAGAAGGACAGAGTACATACTCTTTTTTTTTCCTGCTTTTTCTCCCCAAATCCCCCCAGTACATAGTTGTATATTTTAGTTGTGGGTCCTTCTAGTTGTGGACACCGCCTCACCGTGGCCTGAGGAGCAGTGCCGTGTCCACACCCAGGATCTGAACCAGCAAAACCCTGGGCCACTGAAGTGGAACACGCAAATTCAACCACTTGGCCACAGGCTGGCCCTGAGAGTATGCACTCTTTAATCCTCAAAATAGACTTGTGAATTAATATTATTATTAATAATAATAATGTACTCTTATTCCTTAATTTAAGACTCTACCCATTACCAGTAGTTTCATCAGGCCCATCTGATGTGCTTTGCACTCCCCATTGATGTACCCATTCAATTCCTTAGTGGTCATCATGTATTAGGAGAAGAGGGAAATCTCATTAAACTCACCACCAGGATTAAAATGAATTTTTCTCTTATTCTTGTAATTTGCTGTTATTATCATGGAAATAATCTAAAAACTACAGAAAATTCTCTCTTTTGGTTGTCTTAATAAAAAGGATTATATTTAGGGATGTCAACTTGTATTGGAAACTTGATTTTGAGCTACATTTGAGTTAGGAAACTAGAAGAGATGAACTTAAGACTAACCAGTGTTCAGAAACACAGAAATAATCTTACCATGACTACTAAGTCTTGGATTCCTAGCAAGACATTTTAGTTCCACTTGTGGCAAAGAACTTTACAGAGAAAATCTGCAGGCAGCCTGTAGGTATTACATCTCTCAACACATTTCTTTTCATTGTCTTTTTCATTGAAGGCCATTTCAAAACTTGAAGAGATTTTTTAGCTTTGCTTTGGGCTGTCAATATTACTGAACTCCCCAGTGTGCAAGAGGGAAAAAATGTAAAATCATAGAATAAGAATGATTGAATATTGTTTAAATGGAAGAAAAGCTCTTCCAATGTGTATTTTGATAGCTCATGCATCACTTTTTTTTTTTTTTTTTTTGGTGAGGAGGATTTGCCCTGAGCTAACATTTGTTACCAATCCTTCTAATTTTTTTGCTTCTTGAGGAAGGTTAGCTTTGAGCTAACATCTGTGCCAATCTTCCTCTGCTTTGTATGTGGGATACCTCCACAGCATGGCTGATGAGCGGCCTAGGTCCAAGCCCGGGATCTGAACCTGAGAACACATGCCACCAAAGCAGAGTGCAAGAAACTTTAACCCGGCCTCTGCATCACTTTTTTTTAATGTACTTTTGTGTTATGTAGTTTTGTGTATTTTAATGCTATCTAATAAACCATAATAAGCAATCTTTTATACTAAACATTTCTAGGAATTGACCTAGATTGGGTCCTCAACTTCTGGCACCTCTGCATAGTTGAGATTTGTCTTGGATGGTTCATAAATAATTAAAAAATAATAAACTATGTCATATTTTGATTGAGTTTTCAAAAGGACCTGCTGATGTGAGTGAAATGGTCTTTAATTATATCATTATGATGAAGTATCTTTAACTCTCAAACATATATTAATATTGTTTTGTCCAAAAATCATTGTTGAACTTTTCACAAAATAAGATTACTCACAAATTCCAATTTTCCATGGGTATTACAAGTATCAACAAATCCTCTCAGCCAAAAGGACCCAGTGCCAGAGCTGCTGGCACTGTAGCCTGGACCAGCTAGAGACTTTCTCTTGTTCTGGACTCTAGAAAGAGTTCCATCCTTTGTAAATCAATCAGAGCAACACATCCAACATGCCATGTGTTGATTTCAGAAGGCTCAACCAAGTACTGGGCCTTTTCTGTAGTGGTGGAGGATGTAACATGGAGCAAATTGTCTTTCACTTTGGAAGATATCCAGTCTAGACCACTGGACTTCCAGAAGGTTCACCAAGTTGAATCGTCTTGGAATTTATTGTCCATCCGCAGTCACGACTATGTCTTATCAAGGCATTTAGGGACTGGCTACTTCTGGTTCACCAGGTTCTATTCATGTGATATCATCAATACAGTGGACCAGCATGATGTTCTATGAAACGGTGACACAAAATCCTTGTGAACAAAATTATGGCAAAAGTTTCGATAGTTGATGTAGTCCTAAAGCAAGAAGTTAGTGAAAATAAACTTTCTGGTGATTTCTGCTTCATGTTTTGAAAATCAAGCATTTTCCAGATCAGTGCTGCATACCAGGTTCTTTAGTAGGTATTGATTTGCTCCAGTAAAGAGACCACATCTAGAAGAGCAGATTAATTTTATGATTAACTTCATGATAATTTACTGTCCTTCTTGAAGCCCCATCAGCCTTTTGCACAAGCCAAATCAGAGAGTTAAATGGGGATGCCAAGAATCATCAGCCCTGAATCTTTCAAGTTTTTGATAGTGACACTAATATCTGTGATTCCCCAAGGATATGGTATGGGTTCTGGTTTACAATTATGATAGGGAGAAGGGGCTCAATGGGCCCCCTTTACGTGCTTCCTACGCACTTATCCTCATACCATAGGCCAGGGAACCAACGAAGGCTTTGCTACTTGCTGAGTACAACTATTTCGATTATATATTTAACTATTCTGGGGAAAGTAACCATATGATGGGTTTGCAGATGAACTGGACCCATTATGAAATAGACTGGGGCCAAAAGTTATTGTCAAATCCACACAAGCTCTGGTAGATTTCAGGATATTCTTGGATGATAAAAGTGAACTTAGAGTCAATGTCCAATAATTCCTGAAAGATCTGATTCTTTCCTTTTCTCTTGGGCACAGTCATTCTAGAAAGTGGTGGCAGATCCCTTTGAGGAAGGCTATGCAGATTACTTAAAAACATAATTTTCTCAAGATTGAGTGAGCCTTCTTCAATGGTAGTCTTTATTCATGCGTGTCTATGAAGTAATCAGTGCTGGAATTAGGTGAGGCATGTATAGGCGATATACATATTACATTGTTATTTTGTTTATTGCCCAACTTCGCCCACTAAAGCGAGAGTGGGAGGGCCAGCCCAATGGCACAGCGGTTAGGTTCGCACGTTCTGTTTCAGTGGCCCGGGGTTACCAATTCAGATCCCTGGTGCGGACCTATGCAGCCCTTGGCAAGCCATGTGTGGCAGGTGTACCACATATAAAGTGGAGGAGGATGGGCACAGGTATTGGCTCGGTGCCAGTCTTCTTCAGCAAAAAGAGGATGATTGGCAGCAGCAGATGTTAGCTCAGGGCTAATCTTCCTCAAAATAAATAAATATAAAGTGAGAGTGGGAAATTTTATTTCTTTTCTTCACTGCTGTATACTCAGGGCCTAAAAAGTACTTGGCTCACAGTAGGTACTCAATAAATATTGTTGAAATAATGAAAAAGTGGTCCTTGTTTTAACAGAGCTTATATCAAGTGGAGGAAAAAGACATTAAATATGCACAAACTCCCAAACACACTGTAAATTTGTAAATTGTGCTGGATTGTTCTATTGTCAACTTGGTTAAGCTAGGAATTACTTTTCCCGGAACCCCTTTCAGTGTGGGTCGCGGTCCCACAGAGGTGGTAGCTACGCAGAGGCAACAGACATAGACTTCTCCGCAGGCTCCCTTTTCACTCTCGCTTTGGCAGCTTGACTTGCTTGGATCCTTGGATTACCTTGGAAGCTCTGACTTTCTCATCTGTGCCAGTGCTTTAGGAGAATGGGTTAATGACTCTACTCTGATCCTCCAATTCCCCACTTCCAGATCTTCACTTCCCTACCTCCTCCTAGAATTTTGTAATGTCTGATTCCTATTCTAAATCCCCTATCCTATAACATTCATAGCAGCCCTGCTTCCCTGACTAAATCCTTACTGACACTTAATGCTATAAAAGAAGAGTTCACATTGTATGGGAGTTCATCATGAGGAGATTTGTCCAAGTTAGGGATTGTGGAAGGAATGATGATTGGGCTGAGAACGGAAGAAAGAGTAAGAGGTAAATAGATGAGAGAGGCATGGAAGGATCCAAGGCTGAGAAAACAGGATGTCAATACTGGGAGGGGAAATGATCAGAGAGGGGGACTGAAATGTGACAGGAGCAGAGAATTTGAATGAAATCATGGTGTGGGAAGGAGCTAGTCCAATAGGGATCAAAGTGTGCAAGGATTTGAAGACCATGACGGGTGTACATGTATGTGGGTGACACATGATCATATTTGTATTTTGAAAATATTACTCCAGCTTTAGCACAGATAATCAATTGTAGGGGACAAGAACGGATGCAGGCAGACCAGTTAGGTAGCTATTGTACTTTTCTAGGGAATAGATGGTGATAACTTGATTTGGAGTGCTAGAGATGAAGAGAAGTACGAGTGAGCAGATTGTGAGTTTGATTTTGAGTGTGTTGAATTTGGGGTATTTTTCCCCCCAAGGAAGACTAGTCCTGAGCTAACATCCACACCAATCCTCCTATTTTTGCTGAGGAAGATTGGCCCTGAGCTAACATCTGTGCCCATCTTCCTCTACCTTATATATGGGACGCCTGCCACAGCACAGCTTGATAAGTAGTGCATAGATCTGTGCCCAGGATCCGAACTGGTGAACCCCAGGCCGTCGAAGTGAAGTGCAGGAACTTAACTGCTGCACCACCGGGCCGGCCAAGTCTGGGGTATTTTTGAGACAAGCAATAGGAGATGCGCTTTAAGTAGTTGCATCTAGAGCAAAAGCCTCAAGTCTGAACTGGAGATGTAATTTAGGAGGCCAACTGTGTATATATATTCCAGTGGAAATGATCATGCTTTACTTGTGGAAATTCAAATACAGCCTTTAAGCCAAGGCCAAAAAACAAAAACAAAAAAGGAGTGCAGTGGTTTAAATTGGGTTGAATTTTCTTGCTGCCATTCTGTTCAATGAGTACATGCCCTGCACTGAGTGGGATTTGGGAGATATGAATCAGCTGTTTCTTGATTCAGTCCAAGTCCCGGTGTGAGTATTTCACTGAGCTGAATGTGATTCTAATATTTAAAAATACAACACATAGTTTCCACACAACATAACACCTAAATTTAAGCCAACTCCTTCTGGAGATTAACTGAAGGATCAGTAAGCTTTCAAATACTGGATAAAAAAATCATTTGTGTTATATTTATTGAGAGATGGCATGTCAGTCTGCAAACTCCTCAGGGGCTTTCTTGTAATAAGCCACAAAGCAAGTTTCAGCAAATTTCAATGACTCGGTATTCTAGAGACCGCATTCTCAGACCGCAGTTTTATTAAATTCATAGCAAAAAATAAAAAAATCCTGGGGCCAGCCCGATGGTGTAGTGGTTAATTTTGCATACTCCACTTCAGTGGCCTTGGCTACATAGGTTTGGATCCCAGGCATGGACCTACACATCGCTCATCAAGCCATGCTTTGGTGGTATCCCACATACAAAATAGAGGAAGATTGGCACAGATGTTAGCTCAGGGCCAATCTTCCTTACCCCCCCGCAAAAAATCCTCATATTTTATTTTATTTATTAAATTATTTTTGTTAAGGTAAAATTAACATGACATAACATTCACCATTTTAACCATGTTAAAGTGTGCAATTCTGTGGCTTCCAGTACATTCACGGTGTTTTGCAAATCATCATCACTATCTAACTCCAGAACATTTCATTGCTCCTGAAAGAAATCTCATATCCATTAACAGTTATTCTCCATCTCCCCACTGGTTCCAGCCCTGGCAATCACTAGTCTGCTTTCTGAGTCTATGAATTTACCTATTCTGGACTTTCATGGAATGGAATTATATAATATGTGGACTTTTGTGGCTGACTTCTTTCACCTAGCATAATGTTTTCAAGGTTTATCCAGGTTGCAGCACATACTAGTTTTTCATTCTTTTGTTGCTGAATAATATTCCATTGTATGGATACACCATATTTTATTTATCCATCATTAGCTGATGAACATTTGGGTTGTTTCCACTTTTTAGCTATTGTGAATAATACTGCTATGAACATTTGTATATAAATTTTAATATGGACTCATGTTTTCATTTCTTTTGAGTAAATATCTAAGAGTGAAATTTATGGGTCGTAGGATAATTCTCTGTTTATCTTTTTGAGAAACTACCAAATTGTTTTCCAAAGTGGCTGCATCATTTTGTATTTCCACCAGTAATGTATGATGGTTCCAATTTCTCTACATCCTTACCAGCACTTGTTATTTTCCATTATTTAAAAAAAATTATAGACATCCTAGTGAGTATGAAGTGGTATTGATATCTCATTGTGATTTTGATTTGCATTTTCCTAATACCTAATGATGTTAAGCATCTTTTCATGTGCTTATTGGCCATTAGTATATCTTCTTGGGAGAAATGTCTACTCAAGACCTTTGACTATTTTTTATTTGGGTTGTTTTGTCTTTATGTTATTGAGTTGTAAGAATTCTTTACGTATGCTGGATACTAGACCCTTATCAGATATATGATTTGCAAATATTTTCTTCCATTCTATGGGTTGTCTTTTCACTCTCTTGACAGTGTTCTTTGATACATAAAAGTTTTTAAGTTTGTTGAAGTCCAATTTACCTACTTTTTTGTTGATTGTGCCAAATGTAAGAATCCATCACCGAAAGTGAAGTCATGAAGATTCACTCCTATGTTTTCTTCTAAGACTTTTATAATTTTAGCTCTAAACATTTAGGTCTTTGATCCATGTTGAGTTAATTTTTGCATATGATGTGAGGTAAGGGTCCACCTTCATCCTTTTGCACCTCCAACCAACTAGAAAAGTAAGAAAAAAATTAAAATTAATCTGTTTAAAAGTAGTGGAGGGCTTTCAAGATAGGGAGGACTTGTGAATCCAAGATTCTAGACAGAAGGGAAGCCTAGAGAGGTGGAGCACATATGACATCATTGTCCCACCTTAAGGCATTTGACACCTCAAAAGCAATGGCTGAAATGTTAACAGCTGAAAGGTAGGAGAGATAAAAGAAAGAAAATACAGAAAAGACATGAAAGACAGAGACAGAGCTAAAAGGATAAATACGCAAACTCATAATCATAGTAGGAGAACTTCACACACTTCTCTCAATATCTCATTAACCAAGTAGAAAAACAAAATATCAGTAAGGCTGTCGAATTTAATAGATTATCCCTAAACTACTCTAATTTATATTTGTAGAACACTGCACAATATTTTTCCTGTTATTCTATTTTCCACTTGCATGTGGACTATTTACAAAATTTATGCTAGACATCAAAAATAAAATACAGCTGGAAAAGCTCTCAAATATTTTCAAATTATGAAATAAACTTCTAGGTAATTCCTGAGTCAAACGAGAATCACAATAAAAATTAGAAAATATTTTGAGCTTAAAAAGGATGAAATATGAGATAGAAAAGTGTGTGAGATACAGCTAATATTATGTTAAAGGAATATATATAGGTTTAATATAGATATTGAACTAAGAAAGATTAGGTCAAGAAGTTAGAAAAAAATAGCAAATTAATCCCAAAGGAAATAGCATAAAATACAGATAAAGGCAGAAATTAATAAAATTGGCAAAATCATACAAAAGAATGAATCCTCAAATTCATATTCGAAAATTGGTTCCTTGAAAATATTAATAAATTGATGCACCTCTGGGAAGGCCAATTAAGGATAAAAAGGAAGAAAGCATAAAAAACCAATATCAAGAATGAAAAAAAGGACATTAGTACTTATTTGACAGACAGTGGAAAAAATAAAGATATTATAAATAATTTTATATAAATAAATATTAAAATTTGAATAAAGTAAATAATATTTTGAAAATACAACTTGCCAAAACTGACACAAGAAGAAGAAAATAATTTTATGACTATAAAAAAAAATCTTAAATTCACCATTTTCTTTTCTACAAAGAAAACTCCAGGCCCAGATTGTTTTACCTGGGAATGCTACCAAATAAATACTAAAAAAAAAAGACATAACACAAATTTATCCTTTTTTACTGGTCATTAAGCTATTGTGGCTCAACTCCAGGTCCATTCTTTTATGCTTTACTCTCTGATGGTGGGGCTGAGATTTTGAAATTTCCAGCTCTTTTTTATTGGCTGGCTTCCTGTTGGGCTCTGCAGAAAGAGAGTGCTGGGAGGAGACTGGAAAAAAGAGGTGGGGAGATGGGATGGTACTATATAATATCACACATCAAAAACTATATGTTAACTAGAAAAACAGATTATAAAACCAAAAGAAAAAGGAGATAGTGGTCAACAGAAAACTCAAATCTGATGAAAAACAAATATAATCTGTAAGTTTTGTGATATAACCTTCGGCACATTTAAGGAAAGCTGCTGAAGGGAAAACAAGGGCTGAAGCCAGAGTAGAAGGGGTTTATAAATGAGTAGAAAGTAAGAATGGAGACCCATGGCATGTGCTGGTGCTCAGTGTTTCTGGGCCCAGGTGGTACTGCAACAATAGGTTTTAGGTCTTCAGCAGCTATACATTGGCGTGGCTGGGATAGGCCTAGACTGACAGCATGGACTCCAAGATCTAAATATTATGAGGCTTAAATTTAGACAAGATATTAATTCAGGGCTTTATCTAGAGTTGGCTCCATAAATACACTGGTATTGTAGGGCTAAAATATTTGGATGGGTTGATTCACCCTAGTTCCTTTAAGGTCAAACATCATAGTCCAACAGAATTATCATTGATAATCCAGACTACCTGAGAATTTTCCACTCAAGTCCTGTTTTCTATTAATACAGAGATTTAGTCTTATACCATAGTAGATGTTTATGCCTCTATTGAGGTCTAACTTTATTTTAATACTTAATTAATAGTGAGTAGTATCCAGTTATAGGATTACATGGCCCAGTCCCTTAAAACAGGCTTTGAGCCCAACCTCCTGGCCGTAGCTGCTTGTATCCAGGATCTGAGATTTGGCAGGAAGGAAGTTTTGCTCCTGCAGCCTGTTTCCAGGAGGCACCTTTCATCTGAAATGCATTCATGGCACTTCTTCTTGGTGTCACATCTTGTGCTGTGTTGGAAGATCTTGGTTTTACAGAACAGCTACAACAGTGTTGCAGATGAACTTGCGAAGAAAGTCATGGCAGGGAGTCTGTTAATGAGGTAATCTAAAAAATTTAGCCAAGGAAAACCTCCCTTCCTGGGGTTACTATTAAATTTTTTATAAATAATGTCCACTTGTGCTTAAAAATGGTGTTTGGTTCAGTGTATGAAGTTTATTTCTTTGGAAAAAATTCAAGTAACTTCTCAGACAATGGAACTTTCTTTAGACCTTAGGGAAAAACAAAGAAGGGCAGAGAGGCAGAAAACAGTTCATGCACATCTCTTGAGGAACAGCTCAGGCAAAGAGTCATCCAATGAGAAGCCCGCCTGCTCCTCCAGGAGCTCCCCCCAGCTGCAACTTGATTGCTTGATTCTTGTGGGATTTCTTGGTTCCCTCTTTCCTGGAAAACTGGAGCCTCATTAGCCTGTTTTCCTTATCCTCAGAGGTTCTTTTTTGCAATAACAATTTATTGCACACTCTAAGGTATGGATGCTAAATATGGAATCAAGGCTGGAGCAAGACACCTGCAGATCTAATATCAATCTAAACAGAGTTGTAGTAGCTGGCACAGGTCACAGGGAGAGCATCTGAACCGGAAATGTTAGCTGGCACCGAAAAGGAATCTACACTGAAGCATCTTCTTTGCATTTCTCTTTTTCGTTCTCTCTTTCTCATTTTTGTTCACAGCAGGAAGTATGTGTATCTTGTGTTAAGGAAGTTATCAATTGTTTTTAATAGCCAGGAAGTGTATCTCATTTGTTAAACCTGTCTTCAAGGAAAAGTATGCCCTACAGAACACACAATAAGTTTTTAAATTGCCTGTATTCAGATACCTCATCCTTTATATGAAGGGACAAAATGTAGTGTCTTTGGACAACGCTTTGATATTGGGACACTTGGTAGATGGTTACAGGAATGACTTCCAATGAGTCACACCTTCCAGAATCCAAGCACTTATATATTCCTCTCCTCCATGGACTCTGAACTTGGCCACTGCCTTGCTTTGGCCAGTGGGACATCACAAATATGATCTTAGGAGGGCCTTGTCAAGCACTTGCCTGCTGGGGCTATCCTCTTGGAATGCTGCCCTGCACTGGTGCCATGTCAAAGCCCAGAATGAAAGGCCACAAGGAGAGAAAGGCTGAGCCATCTTAGCTATCTCAGCAAAGTCTAGTCACTAGCTGTCCTGGCCACTGAATATAGCCTATTGAGAAGTTCCTGGAGAGCACCAGAAGAACCACTCAGTCAACACAACACGATCATGAAAAATAATGTCCCTTTTTTTTTAAAGCAGTAAGTCTTGGGGTGGATTATTTTTTCACAAAAGTAGATAACTTAAACAGGCCAGGATCTTATATTTTTCATATTACATTCATTTTTTTGCATGTTTGAGAGTAATTACAGATATTTTACAATAAATCACTGTGTAGCCCTATAAATATCCCTGCACATATACATTAAAATATGACTGTATACGAGAGAACAGATGGTGGTTGCCAGGGGCTAGGGGTGGGGGAAATGGGGAGATGTTGGTCAAAGGGAACAAACTCCACTTAGAAGATGAATAAGTTCCGGGGGTGTAATGTACAGAGTGGTGACTATAGTTAACAATACTGTATTATATACTTGAAAGTTGCTAAGAGAGTAGACCTTAAATGTTCTCACCACACACACATACACAAAGGTAATTATGTGAGGTGACGGAGGTGTTAACTAACCTTATTGTGGTAATCATTTTGTATTATATATGTATATCAAATCTCATGTTACACACCTGAAAGTTATACAATGTTATATGTCAATTATATCTTAATAAAGCTAGAAAAGATGTTAAAAATATGACTATATAGTAATGAGACTGCTTTCCATAAGGCACATCCAAAATCTGTTGCATTGTTCAGGACTCTGTGTGCATATACCGTGTAATTAAAGGTGGTGAGAGATCACGCAGACTGGGTGCAAGAAAATGTGTAATTGTAAAACTAGAGAAAACCTATGTATGTATGTGCAAGTGTGTGTTGCATGCACGCGCATTCAGAGAGGACGAGAGAGAGAGGTAGAAATCAGGGAAATGGTTAGAGGAAGCTAGTTAAATTGAGATGGTTCTCGGTGGGTGGCAATGTACTAAACAGCACAGGTGGTAGAAACATGCTAACTTCTGAGATCAAGACCTAATGATTAAAACAATCTACATGTGGTGTCTAAGCATTGGCTCATAATTAAAAGTCAGATTAATAAAAATATTGGTCTTCCAGGGGACTCATTCCTAGAGTTCTTTTTATTTTTTCTTTATATTGTTTGAAATCCTTTGCAAATTAAATGTGTGATGCTGGAGCCACAAAGAAAAGAAGGACATTAAAAGAGCAAATAATCTAATTTTGACACCAAACTGCCTATAGACTGTTCTATGATATCTGGATTTTTCTTCCAACAGTAAAAATGCAGAGAAAATAGAATTTTCCCAATGAATAGGAAAAGACAATATATTAAAAGATATTCACAATTAGAATTATGTTTGCAAAGCAGTGCTTAGCCTTATTTAAAACATTCTCTCTAATGTATGTGTGTGAACATTTTCAGTAGCTGAAAATGCATTATCAGTAGCTAAGAAGTTCTCTGAGTTGATGTTTCACAGAGCTCGTCCTGTCATTGAGGGCATCCAGGCTTCAGCAGCTGGGAAGTCTCTGGTTACCCCTTCTTGTCTGAACAGCTTCTTTCCATGTATGTACTTAATGCCCATTTGCAATGAAACAAAATGAATCCTCTTGCAATAAACACTTCCCACAGATCTGCAAAGTAGTGAGGAAACTATGCATAAATATACACTCAATTACTTTTGATTTATAATAATCAACTAAAATATACATACACACTCACACACCCACGCGCAGATACATCACACGTAATAAAAGACACCACCACTCCTGCACCCATTTGGGATCTAAACCTCTTGACGGTTCTGGCATAGAAACACACATTCTTGTTAGGTGGGAGCAATTGGAAGAGATATTCATCAAATCCTCCTCACGGCTTCCCTAATTACCTTGCTATTATAACAGTGATGGTTTCTTAGGAAGAAATCACTTGATGAGAAACGAAATGCTGTTTGCTGAACGCCCCATCCAGAGTCACCAGGTTAGACAGCTTTCTTCCTCCCCAGAGAGTGGTGGAAACACAAATGGAAGGGAAGCAGGTGTGGCTGGTGGGCATGCTGTGTCAGATGCTCCTTGGGTAGTAATGATACCTGGCAGTGCAGAGAAGAGGTATGAAGAAGAACTTCAATGGCCTTATTTCTTACGATTGGCTTAAGGACTCTTCTTTGTGCTCGTAAATAATTTTTGAATTACAATCTTACCTCTTCCCCCATCTTGTCACTTTACACCCTTACACCTCCATCACAGGGCTTCACTGCACACAACATATTCTCTGTGCAAATTAAGGAATCGGTAAGCCAGTGTCAAGGGTGAGATTGTTCACAGTGAGTTTTCAATGAGATCGGGTTAAACGACTGTACTTTTATTTTAAGGCAGTGTTTCTTACAGTGTAATCTGGAGACCAGTACTTCAGCGGAGGGTAAATGGCACTCCACGGGCAATGTCATGGACTTGCACTTGCTCTCCCAAGGCTGTGCTAGAATTTTCCTGAGAAGTAGACTCATAGCAAAAACAGTTTCTACATTCTTGGGAAAACAAATCTGAAGATCAATGAATCTAACTCTACTAATGGCATCTTCATACCTCAGGACACATGCTACCTGCTCTTTCTCATTTCCCTCTGCTGGAGACTGACTGCCTTGGAATTAATTACATGTTAAGGTTACTTGTGAAAATACAGATTCTTGGAACCCCCCCGGGAAAATGCTGGTTTAGTAGGTCTTGGGTGGGAGCAAGGAATCTGAGTATTGTACAAGCACTTAGCAGACTCTTATGCACTCCAGTGTTGGAGATCCTGTTAAAGATAACGAGTGAAAGCTCAGGTAGTGTGATGATTAACACCCTGATACATAGCATTGCTTTTGGATAAAGGTTTCTAATTCATGAGGGTAAGTACTATTTTATACTTGTGAAGTGACCTGTATTATCAAAGTGCTGTTTATGTATATTTATATATAAGACATTTGGTCGTCAAAGAAGTTAGCATAAATCAAATGTTTACTACCAGTCAGGTCCTCTGGCCCAGGTTTTGCTGTTACTACATCATTTTATATACATGCTGGAGAGTATTGCCACCTTCATTTTATTGAGAGCATTAAGAGACACAGATGTTAATTATTAACTTTAGGCCCACATTCTTTTATATGGGAGGATAGCGGAGGCTGTCAGTGGTCTCCCAATATTGATGCTCCCTTTCTTTTTATGTGATAAAATAAAGCTATTTGTAACTGGGCACATGGACCCAAGAACCAAAGACTATGTTATCTGGCCTTCCTGACAGCTAGTATGGGCATATGATAAAGTTTAGCTCTTGGTATGTAAAGAGAAGCCATTTGCAGCTTCCAGGGGTATCGTTTTGATATTTTTCATTTTATTTTATTAATTTTTACCTGTTTTATTGTGAAAAATTGCAAACTTTGACAAAAGTAGAGAGAATAATATAATAAATCTCTATGTACCCACTGCCCAGCCTAACAGTCATCAACACTTGGTGAATTTTATTCTACCTCTTCCCGATCCTCTACCCACTTCCCGTGCCCACCACCCTTCTGTGGCCATGAAATGCCACTAAAGGAGCAGGTATGCACCTGTCCTTGTTCCTGATTACTTCCTGCCAGCTGGAATATGTATGTGACAGGTGAAACTTGAATAAATGTCTTGCACCATAGGTGGAAGCCACAGGATGAGGATGGCAGAGAAAAAGAAAGAAGGACCCTGGGTATGTCATGTCTTTATGAAGCCATTCTTACATCCTGGAATATATACTGCTAGACTTTTGTGCATGAGAGAAATAAATTTCTACAAAGTTTAAGCCACTATTCTATGACTTTCAGGCAAAATTATCTCTAATATTTACAGTGGGTAAAATAGAAGACACTGCTGAACATTCTTACCAAAACAAAGCATCTTCTCCACATTCCTGACTTAGGAAATCAATGTCACACAAAAAATTGAATCTTTGATCATTGAAGATGTTCACAGTTTCCGAATCATCAATCTGATCCTCAGTGAATATTTGACTATAGACGTGTATAAGTTGGCTGCGAAGCAGACTATGAATCGATTATAACATGATGTTAGAAGCTGGGTTTTGGGCAAATAATTAACATTAATTAATAAAGGTTGAGGCAAAAACTACTTACTGGTTGTTCCCTATTATCTGTTTTTCCTTTTTTCCACTTATACCAGGCCCCAAGTTTTCAGATGTGTGCATGGCCTTATAGAATAAAGTTTGCACTTTTTAGCTTTATTTATAGCTAGGGGCCATCAGGTTGCTAAGCTCTGAACAATGGGATGTTAAGTAGGAGAGATATATGCAGCTTGAAGGAAGTGTCAATACTGAGGAGATATGCTCTTCTTTTATTCCCTTCTCTTCTTCTGACTGCCTGGAACGCAGATGCCATGACTGGAGCTTGCAGTCATTTGGGACCCTGATGTGGAAGCCACAGGTTGAGAATGGTGAAGCAATAAGTTAGAATGAGCCTGGGTTTTGGAAAGGCCAGTCTAGCCCTGAACTGCTTACCTCTAGACTTCAATGTACGTGAGAGAAATAAAGTTCTATTTTAAGTCATGTTATTTTACGCTTTATATTGCTTGCAGCCATACCTGATTCAAACTGATTAATATTCTCACATATTTTTTTCTTCTTTAAACATTAAGTGAGATTGCAATTCTGTTTATTTGAATTTTGTTTAGATTGGCTGGATTTTTGTTTAACTGAGGCCTGACACAATATTTTAAACAGATCCTACCTCTTGTGTATAATTTATAATTCATTATTATAAATATATGTTGGGAAGGCAGTACAAGATATTAATCTTTGGCCTGAGTCTATACAGGAAAGTAGAACTGGTATTAATATATTTGGAATAAACACACTCCTTCCCATCCATTTCCTATCACTATTGACTAAAAACTCTTTGTTCCTAAATCTTGTTTTGTGACTCTTTTTGGAGTCTCCAATGTAACTGCAGACATTTTGGCCAAAATCTCCAGATATTCTTCAAACTTAAAAATAGGTGAGTGAGTATGGTCAATCTCTTCTATTTTATCCTTCCACGTCTACTCTCTATCTTCTTCTTCCTGCTCTGTGCACCGGGAGGCTGACCTATCTGAAATGCATGAATGGGTTCTCTCACTCTCCAGTTAGATGAAAAGGAGGCACTCACAGGTGGTCTGAAGGACAGGAAGGGTAAGGTCAGAGCATTTATTCTTATGACTTCCTTCCTACCTTGTCACTGTATGTTGGCTGCTTCCCTTGACTAAAATCTTTTATCAGTCAGCTATTGCTGCATTAAAAAGTATTTCCCAGCCTAGTGACTTAAACAACCATTTATGCAGCTTGAGATTCTGTGGGGTGGAAAATTATGTTGGTTCAGTTGGTTAGTTCTGGTCTTGGCCTGGCTTGGCCACATCATTTTTGAATCTGCAGTCAGTGTGTAGGTTGGCTGAGTACTGGCTGGCGTAGGATGGCCTCACTTCAAAATTTGGCTGTTGGCTCTTGTCAGTTGGGACAACAGCGGAGATAGGGATGTTTGTGTCTTATCATCCAGCAAACTAGCTCAAGGCTATTCTCATGGAAGCTGGGCAGGGTTCCCAGAGAGCAAACTGACACACACCAAGTGTCTTGAGGCCCCATCTTCACTTGAAACTGCCTCATCTTCAATTCTGCTACATTATGTTGACTAATATAACACAAGATCAGCCCATAGTCAGGAGATGGGGGAAATAGACTCTGTCCTTTAGTAAAAAGAACTACAGAACTGCAAACAGTGTGGATACGAGAAGAAGTGAAGAACTGTGGTCATTTTGACGATCTAGCATAGGGTCACATCTCACGTTCAACAGCTCTCTCCATGCAGCTTTTTCTTTGGGTTCTGGTAACTTCTCTTTCTTTTTGTTCGTTATTCTTAGGGGTAGTAATGGCTCCATTTAATCTTTAGCCATTAGTCTGTCATTAGCAGAGTACTAAGCCATTCTTGTCCACACTTTCCTTAGTAGACACTTCGTTAAACTCTCCTCAGTTATCCAGCTGGAGTTTGTCGTCTGTTCTCTGCCAAGACCTAGACTGAAATTTGGAGTCTTTCTATTAAACATGGCAAATTGAACATCTGCTTATATCTCTGGAAATACCACTTTTAGGGAAAAAAAGGCTTCAAACTCACATGGACAAAAATAGTGTGAGAGATGACAAAATTAAACAATATTTTGGAAAGATAGAACACTTTCTATCTTTGTAGATGGAAGCATAGAAATCTGAGTAGAGTAGAAAAAGCTGAAATTAAGAGTTTGTAGAGGGGTAATTCAATAAGGAGCAAGCAGTCCCTGCGGCAGGACTCCACAGAAAGCCTCAGGAAATCGAGGCACCAGGTACCTGAAAGCAGAGATACAGGAGGAGTGACTAAAGGTCTTCATTAGGGGCAGCTGGATCCCCAGAATGCCTTTTAAATCCTTGCTGAAAGCAGGAGGTTTTTCTAGAGAAACCGAACTTATGAGAATCTGGATTTGGGAACAGTTGGCATGGTAACGAGCAGGAGCAATTTTCCTAAATGATAATGGGGGTATGAAGTGAAAGGCCATATCCTAAAATGTCAGAACCTATGGCTCCCCCTGTCCATCTCCCAGCCCTTGCAGTTCAAGGATGCTTGTAGCCAGGTACGTGCTGCCTGTCCTTGGCAGGGCAGAAGATTGGGACATTCTTCTCTGCAGAAGTTGGCTGGCCCTAGAGAAACGATCTATAGATGCTGACATTTGGATGTCCCCCAGTGAAAAGGTCAGGCCCTGATATATGATAGTGAACTCAATTATTGACAATCCACCTTCACACACAGAAGTCCCATTTAGTTTCTCAGTGCCTCAATCCTAAATATTCCATTAAGCCAAGATCACTGCACAATTGAGAAAAGCCACAAACATGAATGACAGTGACAAAAATGAACCAAAGTGAATAAAAGTAAATTTGAGAATATGGAAATAATATGGGGAGCAAGAGAAAATTTAAAATTAAAACAGGATAAAACAAACGAAGCAAAAAACATAGCTATGATCCATGTTCTCAGATACGTAAAAGCAGATAGCATATCCATAAAACAAAAATAGGATAGCCTTACTAAAAGCAACAACAACAACTACAAAGACAACAAACCAGAAAATAACATGAGAAAGCCAGACAGGACTCTTGTAATGTAAAAATAGAACAATAGAAAAAACCATCAGTTTAAGAGTTAGAAGGTAACGTTGAAGAAATCTCCCAGAATATGTGAAATGACAAAATGATGGAAAAGTCGGAGGATCAATTTGAGAGCCCTGACTTAAAATATAGGAATTCTAGAGTGAAAGAAAAGATAAAATGTGGAGGACATAACAAGGAAGTAATTTAATAAAATTTCCCAGGACTGAAAAACATGAGTTTTCGTGTATGAATGGCCTACTCTGATGGTCTAGTGGTTAAGGTTTGGCGTTCTCACTGTTGCAGCTGGGTTCATTTCCCAGTCAGGGAAGCACACCACCATCTGTAGGTTGTAATACTATGGTGGCTGCATGTTGCTGTGATGCTGAACCCTATGACACCAGGATTTCAAATACCAGCAGGGTCACCCATGATGGACAGGTTTCAGTGGAGCTTCCAGACTAACACAGACTAGGAAGAAGGAGCTGGCCACTCACTTCTGAAAAAATTTGCCATGAAAACCCTATGAACAGCAGCAGAGCATGTCTGATACAATGCAGGAAGGTGAGAGGATGGCGCAGAAAAGCCGGGCAGGGTTCTCCTCTGCTGTGCACAGGGTCACCAGGGGCTGGAATCAACTCCACAGCACTAACAGTTCTTATTATAATTAATGAAAAAATCTTCAACTCAGGCTTTCATTGTAGGTTGAAGAGTCAAAGAGAATTTCTTGAAAGTTTCCCAAGTCACACAAAATCAAGAATTGGATGGGTCCTGGGCTTCTTTAGAGCAGCACATGAAGGTAAGAAGATAAGGTGAAGATGGAGAAGGGAGATAGAGAAAGAGGTTCAAAGATGTGAGCTGGTGACATTAACGATAAAGGGAGCCGCAAGCCAAAGGATGTAGGCAGTTTCTGGAAGCTGGAATGGGCAAGGAAACAAATTCTTGGCTGGAACTGTTCAAAGGAAAGCAACCCTGTGGATCTGTTTTAGACTTCTGATCTCCAGAACTGTAAGATAACAAATCTGTGTTTTAATCCACTGTTGGTGGTAATTTGTTACAGCAGCAAGAGGAAACCAATGTATTGGACAAATTATTAACAAAGTGTGCCAGCAAGATAAAGACATTTTAGACACTCGTGCCTCAAAATGTTTACCTCTCTTCCTTTTATCAGGAATTTCCTAGAGAATGTGTTCTACTAAGTGAGAGCCCAGCATGAGAAAGAGCATGACACAAGGTCCAGGAAACAAGAGACCAGTCAGAGAGGGGTGAGAGGCAATCCCACAATGAGGGTGAAAGGAAGTCTTGGGTAGAGAACTGCGCAGAATTTTGAAAAGCACCTGCTCCAGGTTAGAGCGGAACCATGCAGACGTAAACAAGGCTCGACCGTGGGCTGTTCACGTGCTTGCATTGTGTGAAGGTTAGGACCTCAGCCTCAAGAAGCCAGAATACCTGGGTTTCAACTCAGTTTCATCACTTACTAACCAAGCAGTCTAATTACTTACCTCAGTTTTCTTGTTTGCAGAATGCTAATAATAATAGTGCTACCACATAGGGTTGAGGTGAAGATTAAATTAACATGTGTGGAGTGCTTAAAATAGTTTCTTGTACACAAGTGCTCAATTATTGTTACCTTTTTATTATTAAAAATATTTTAGAGTTCTGTTGCATATTTGGGGGGAGGAATTACTGATAGGCGCATGGAATATCAAACAAATACACCTCTCTATGGGACAATTTCAAACAGTAGTGTACTACAAGTTTCAGATGTCAAGGCTATTGACCATCATAATTAGAAAAGCATTAACTATTGATTTAGCCAACATTATGGTTTAAGAGTTTTGGGAGGTTGGTAGAGGGTGTGTTGGGGGGGTGTGTGTGTGTGTATGGTGGGGTGGATGAGTTGGGTAGTTAGGACATCAAATGATAAGGTATCAAATTGTAAAATCAAGATATAGAAGTATGAACGTATTATTTATATACAAGCTAAAAGAGTTAATGTTGATTGTCTCTAGGGATTACGATATTGGAGTAGGGCAAAGTAAGACAGGGAACTACTGATTTCCATCATAAGCCCCAAAGCACTGTCTATTTAAACTATGTGCAGTATATACTTTGATAGAAATGTTTTAAATGAATAATTAAATTAACACGTGGTAGAACACAGCAAGGTAGGCAAACTACATAAGCTGAATTACAGTGATATAATTAAAATTTTTTGACTCTATTGTCCAAAAATGAGACCTATAGAGCAAAAATTAAGTTCAGAATTTGGAACTTGCAAATACTCAGCAACCTTTAGATCTTGTCTCTAGTGATGTTTCAAAGCCAAGGGCACTCAGCCTGGCCTGCAAATAAAAATCATCTGGGTTGTACAGTGTAATTACCTGGGGAGCTTCAAAACTCCTAATGCCCCTGCTCTACCCAAGATTAATTAAATCGGAATCTCTAGGGGTGGATTCAAATGTCAGTATTTTAAAGCTCCCCAGGTGACTACAATGTTTGATCAAGGTTAAAGACAACTGTATGAAAACACCTTGAATGGTTTTTGATGGGATTTTTACTCATTGGCTTTGTAGTAAGCAACAGCCCACATTCATCAGCTTGGTAGGAACAGATGTGGAACTGTGGTAGTTTGCAGAAATAAATAAATACAGAGTATAAATATATATATGTGTGGGTGGGTGTGGTTTTCTATTTCCCAAATATTGTAATTTGGATTAGGATCACGTTTGAGCACTTCTGTGGTTAATTTTGTCAAACCATATATAGCTTTACACTAGTTTTTCGAGTTATTTAATGCATGAGTCAGATTCTCCACGCTTAGAGGTTTAAATACTGAGTGCTTTTGTTGAAATACACTGATCTGTGTGAATGCAGGATTTACTAATGAATTAATGAATAATAACTAAATTACACCAGGAAGACCCAGTATTAATTACCATGTAATTCATACCACAGTTTATAAATCAGATACAAAATCCAATAATTATGGGACAATTAATATGTAATTACCTTGACTCCACATAGTAATTATGCATAATTTTGTCAATAGTTCACATCACACACCCATAAAGAGAACTGCTATTACTTTGCACCCTGGAGTTAAAAATAGCTTGCTAGACTATTCTAGCATTGGTTTAGGGAGGAAACAATATATGACCTTCACTCTAGTTTAGGAGACAGAAGTCATCTCAGATTTAGTTTGTAACCTGCTCAGTATTTGGCATTGTACTAGTTGACACTAGAGATATTTAACATAAAACGAAATTGGTGCAGGAAGGATTTAAGCATTCTATCTGTTATTCTGTAACATCCATCATTTAAATTAAATCATATTTAAGTAAGGAGATGAAAGGAATATCTAAGTGGCAGAATGCACTTTGATTAAGAACAATTAGAACACAGTAGAAAATGCTGCTCTTCCTTTGGAGATATGGCCTGAATGGTTTTATTCTAGCTCAACTTGAGCTGGCCAAAGGCTTCTTTAGCAAGTGGTACATGATGACTTATTTAGCTCTCCTCAGGGAGTTTTTTTTTGGATGTTTCAGCTCCGCTGTGCTGGGGAGCTAAGGAAGACTGATCGAGGAGGAGGAGGAATGAACAGAATTGCTGTGAAATGGGAAGAAACCTAACACTGTCCCCTGCCCAGCAAAGGGCCTTAGTGTCAAGACCAAATCTCAAGAAGGACAAAAAAGTTTCTGCCCATGCCCAAGTAGTGCTGAGATTGAAGGGGGGCTAAATCTCGAAGAACGGTATGTGGTGAATTTCCTATGGTTCAGTATGTAGATAATGCATGTGCCAATAACCTAGGTGAGCCGTTTCAGCAATTCATCAGAGGGGCAAAGAAACTGTGGCAAGAACAGATGTATTTGCCAGACTTCTACCACCCACACAAAGGATTACTCCTTGACTGTCAGCTCCCTGGAGAACAGAGAAATCCCATGCAGGATGGAATCCAGGAAAATGTTCAGAAAAGCCTGTGTCTCTATTAGGGTCACAGAAGTCCTCAGACATAGATTTGAGAGGACAGTCCTTCTAAGACTCTAGACTGTGGTTCTGGATATCCTGGATTTGGAGCATTTTATTCTGTTTAAAGTGATTACAGTAACAACCACAACAATATTTGGAAGGTTATAAAAATGAAGCTCATTTAAATGATGAAATCCAATGTATTAACTCTCAAAGCTTTTCTGCCGGGTAAGGATGGCCAAAGCTCAGCTCCTGCACATTTATAATGGGAAACGACAGAAGTGTTTGATCAACTTTCAGCTACACCAAAATAGAATGCAGACTCCCTGATTCCCGTCCACCCAAACAGAATGAGGTAATTGCTAGCTGATCGATAAAGCAATGAAGCTACAAAGAGGCTGGAAACTCCACTAGGGCAAGGCTTTGTAAATGGAACAAATGGTTCCATAAATGTATCCTAACCTTCCCGAAGCCTGAAATGTCCACCAAATTAGGAAAAAACAAAAGAACTCTAAAGTTCAGCCTTTAATGCCTTCCACAAAGTATATTAATGTTAACTGCAGTCTTCTCTCCCCTCATGCACTTAGGTGTATCCCATAACTCTATCTAGAACACTCATCTTTTGTTCAGCAAACTCTGCAATTTCCTGTTACTGGGCTCTTCCCTTTATCTGAAGCAACCCGTCCATCAGCATCTGCCCGATTCTCATTCTTTAAGGCCCAGCATACATGCTACCTATGCCAGGAAGCATTTTCTTATCATCACAGTAAACAGACCCTTCTTTCTTCTTGGAAATCCTAGATCTACTCTGTCTATTTTTGTACACACCTTCTCTATTGGCTTATGTTTTTGGAAGCAGGTACCATGGTTTATATATCTTTGGATTATTCGAAGATTTGTATTAAATTTCACAATACAATTAAGATTAGAATGAGTGTATCTATAGGTATTTCCTTTTTAAATTTAAGCATTCTTAGGCTATCTACATTACTGGAGCCCAGGAATGCTGATCCACGGAGTAAACATTTTTAGTGTGAGATTTTGACCCAAAGAAGGTCTATTTTATCCTACAAGTATTTTCTTGTTATCATATTGATGACTATTAACAACTTGCTTTTTGATTGATACTGAAGATTCAGTGTTGGAATTTGAAAGTGACTTCTCTAAGGAACGTTAATGGGAGAGCTAAGATTATATAGTTAGACAGAGGTAGCACTCTGAAGGGGTTAAGGTGTAATCCCTGACAGCTTTACAAGTAACATCAGATTTAAAAGTGGGAACAGTGAAATAGAGGTCTGGGTGCTGTTGGAAGAGCCCACATGGGGGTTCAGGAGACCGAGGGCTGCCCATTTCCCTCAATAACTAGCCGTTTATTGGGGTGGGCCAGGAAACACCTCTGTAAAATGAGGAATGTAAACTCTAAGACACCTGTTAGTTCGAAGACATCATGAGTCTTAAAAAAAGAAACGTGCTGTGCATAAATATCTTGGAGAGAAATACTGT